TATTATGATTATGATGTGCTTGCAAACGTTAGTAAGCAAGCGCACACAAAATCGACGAGGAACCTTTGAATCGTCCAAATTTGCCGGAACGAAACCGCATTTCGAAGAGTTCGGGTTTCCGGTTATTGGGAGGGTCGCAAGAATATAAAATCTCTAGGACACACAACCCGCCGTAATCCCACAGAACGTCAACGAACGGAAATGTCCGATGTTGCAAAGTGGACTGGCTCACACGTTGAGTGAATTATTTAAGAGCACGCATATACGCGAAACTCCATCATTCGCCGGCAAGCCGTTTAAAGCAAGCGGCAGTCTGGTAATGTTATACGACTCTCAGCCAGAGGTGGTCCGGGAACAGTATCCGAGGACCGCAATGTGCGTTCGAAATGTCAATGTTCATGTATCCTGCAGTTCACATGTCGACGCGCAATTAGCTGCGTTCTTCATCGACCCACGAGCCAAGTGATCCACCGTTCAGGGTGATTTTATATATATTTATACATGTTTCGATCGTGATTCCCTCGAAATCGTTTAAGATAACTCGGGCGATTCTGAAACTAGTATGATTCATTCGTATGACGTCAAAAATTTACACTTTTGTTATGATATGATCAATTTCTAAATAACCAAATATACTCCTCAACAACATTTGTTGCAAATTCTTTTCAGCAATAGATGTTGGTGTTCTTTTATTTACAGTTTTTAATTACCACCTGATTTATAATTATAACGCTGCATAAGGTGAGATAAAATTCACCTGACAATGTTTTAGTCACAATTTTCAATGGCTGTAGAATCTTCACACAATATTCTAAAATTGCAAAGTGTATTGCTGCGCATAGCGCATCTTTAACCGTCAATATTTTTTTAAATATATTTTCTTAGTAATCTAAGTTGATTTGATTTTGCAATTCTTGCAGAATACATGACGATTTCGCACTATGTTTAAAATGTGCTACAAGAGCTCTAGCTTTTGGGATTGCGGTATTAAGTTTGCATTTTTTTGGAAATTCAGTGTAAGTTCAACGCACAATAATAATAACTTTATCAAAGATTTGCCGTGATTTTCACCACAAAATCTAAATTTTTTAGCGCAGTATACCATTCTTCTGTACGGCGTTATTGGTTTTTACGATTTTTTATACTGTTTAATCAAAAATATGACTAACTGCTTATGTCGAGTAATTTATTTTGATATATATTCGTTAGCGAAAAAATTAACCTTCGAATAAATTATGACAGCGATTTACAACCTGTGGGGCGCGTGGACCCCCTTGCTTGATTACATGCAAGTAATCTACAATTTTCGCTGCAATTTTATCAGGACAAATGTAATAGCATGAATATACTATACTTTTGGTGCATTCAAAATATTTCGTTTTTGCGTTTGTAGCCGAGTGAGCTGTAGGCCTATAAACAAAAGATAAGCACTCGGATCATATCGAATATTCACGTGCTTACTCGAGACTAACTAAAGTAAATAAACAAAAGCTTCCTTTTTATTCTATTATCTATAAATCGAATTAGTTCGTTAGTTGTGCTGGAAATACACGCGTTGATATATAGAAAAAATCATTTCTAAATTATTATTGAGTTAAAATTTATAGCTTTAGTTTTAGCACATTATTAGCCAGGAATTATTGTGAAAAGTAGTGAAAAAGTGATTTTCTTTGATTTGTTATAAAAACCGTTTGTAATGGATAAATACGTGACTGGGTTGAAAAGAAAATTTAATGAAGCAGAAGAAGAGGGTGGTGAAAATAATGGAAATGTACTTCACAAAATAGTAAAACTAAACATAGAAAATATGATCCAATGTACTTATCATTGGGATTTACGTATAAGATCATTAATGGTCAAGAACGGCCAATGTGTTTGCTGTGTATGAATACTTTGGCCTCAGATAGCATGAAACCAAATAAATTAACACGACATCTGGAAAAAGTGCACGCCGATCATGTTGGCAAAACAAAAGAATTTTTCCAAAGAAAATTAGATTCGTCATACAAAGTTTCATATAGAATTGCTAAATGCAAAAAAACCCCATTCAATAGGAGAAACTTTAGTACTACCAGCAGCTATTGACATAATAGTTACGATGTTTGGTGAATCATATGCTGATCAAATTAAAAGCATTCCGCTGGCACATAATACGGTGGGAAGACGAATATCAGATATATCTGATGATCTTTGCGATCAGTTGATAGAAAAAAATAAATTATCTTCTTTCGCGTTGCAAGTAGATGATGCTACCGATGTTGCTAAGGATGCACACTTAATAACATATATAAGATATGTTATGGAAAATGATATTTGAGAAGAGTTGTTATTCTGTAAGGCAATTGATGGCAAAGCTACGGCGAGTAGTATTGAAAATGGTATATATGTAATGGTATGTAAATGGCGGTTTGAGATAATTTGTGCTAAAAAACAAGCTCAACCGTCGCATTAATTTTTTAATGTTGCGTGAAATATTATATCATTTGTTTTTATTAAATTTAAAATTATTTTTTCTTATAATCAATAGTTATGTTTGTATGTATATTTTAGTATGTATATTTTTGTATGTTTATTTTTGTATGTATGTATATTGTGCATTATTTGGTACGAGATTGAATAAATCATAATTTCAATTAAGTATATTTAAATTAAATTGTTAAAAAAATTAGGAGGGGCGCAATATTTTTTTCTTTCAAAAGGGGGGCGCAAGGAAAAAAAGGTTGTAAATCGCTGAATTATGAAGGGATTTGAGCACTATCGTTTGCGCTTGTTACAATTTCATCTATTGTAACATCATTATTGTGGGCTATTTTACTTATTTGAATTGGAAGGAACAAATATGGCAACATATTTATTATCAACATATTTTTTTAATACTTAAATAGGAATTATAATAAATTCTATTAATGCAAAACGTTCATAAATTTATTAAGCAAAACAAGTAAATAACTATATAACACTTTATAATGCTACAAATCTAATGGTAAATCATTTAATAAATATTATTTAACTTACAAAACGCAAAAAGTTATGCTAAAAAGTGCAAAGCATTTGCATAATACTTGACTGAAGTTTTCAAAGTACAAAATTTGTCAAAATAGCCTTCCAGGACCAAATTTGGCATCGGAGCTGAGAAGTAACAAATCAAAAACTCCCCTTTTGGCTAGAAGGGTTGGTTACAACATCCGACCTAGGTTCACGTAAGGAAGCGGATGAGGAGACACTGCTCGAAAGAGATGTGTGGGTGATCCATATAGCGCACCGTGCGTGGAAACTCCCGGCATCAACGTGCCGCACCCACGGGAGCAAGAGGATGCCAATGAAGGAAGAAGGTGCACGGCCGGAGTGGATGTTTTTTTTCCCGCTCCAATGGTCACAAGCTCTTACAGCAATGGAGGTAGCTGTAAGAGTGACCACCCCTCCACTTCCCAAGGCACCGCTTTCGGAGACGACCTTTTGCTCTGGAGGACCATTTAAATAGACGTCGACGTCGACAAGTGACGTATTTATGGACGTCGAGCAGGATGCGGCCAAAGCCGCTATAGTAAAAGGAGGCAACAAGGTTCCTGGTAATTTTCACCGAGACAGAGTAAACTTTGCACCATCGCCTAGATGTCGTTAAACGCCGATGGAGCGACTTGGCTCCAAAATTGACGAGCTAGCAGAGTATGTCAAAGATAAGAACAATGTTCACAGCAGAATAAAGGAGCTAATCAGGTCGATTAGCACAGAAACTATACAGACCTCTCCCGAGACAACTATTCAGCCGGGTGTAACTCAGACACCAACCCCTAAGACCCAGGAGCAAAGCACAAACAAAAGGCTGCTATCGTCACTTAGCCCCGCCTCTGACCCGGAAACACATCCGCCCAAAAAATCGGCTGTAGAAAATAACTGGACGGAGGTGGCTCGACGAAGTTCAAAAAAGAAAGGGGCACCGGATCCGAAAGTAACCTTGAAGGAAACCGAGAAACCGGAAACCGAAAAAATCGAATCAAATGATAGTGCTAAGCACAGAAACAGCCATCATAGGAAAACACGGAAGAAACATAGAACCAAGGCTGTTCTGGTTCAACCAGCTGAAGGACGAACGTACGCTGATATTCTTAAGAAGATCAAGGAAAAAGTAAACCCGACAGAGACTGGCGTGGATATAAAGTCCATCAAACAGACAAGATATGGAGGTGTATTACTGGAAATGAGTCCCAAGTCCGAAGATAGTGCAGCCTTTGCAGACGTGATAAGCGCAGCAACTGAAAACATAGGAACGGTGAAAACACTGACACCGCTGACGACGATAGAGATTCTTGACCTTGATGGTGTCTCTACCGAAAACGATGTCCGCAACGCATTCAATCGGAACTCTACGACAAAACTGGAAATTCGACAAGTGAACTTGACCAAAGTAATATCAAGAGGACAACGAGCGGCCTTTTGTGAGATAAATGAGGCTAATGCAACCTAAGCCCTAAATAGGGCTCGCATAAGAATTGGGTGGGTCACCTGTCGCATTCGCCCAGTTGTTAAAGTAGCCCGCTGCTTTAGATGCCTCGGTTTCGGATACCAAACGCATAAATGCGGGGGACCAGACAGAAGCAAGTATCGCTACAAATGCGGCGGGGAAAATCACAAGTCTGTAGACTGCACGGAAAAGCCAAAGTGCTTTCTACGTACAGTAGACAAAGAGGACCAGAACAGCGGGAGCCATGTTGCTGGATCCGGTACCTGTAAGGCATTCCGTGTAGCACTTGCCGAAGCCACGAGAGAACAGAAATGACACGATTTGTACAAGGTAATCTGAATAGATGTGCCTTGGCGCCAATACTACTGCGTCAACGTATCTTTGAAGATAAGATCGATATCTGCCTTATCTGCGAGCAATATATGAATATTCAGGATAAAACATGGTTCGCAGATAAATATGGCACGGCGGCAATATGGATCACAAACTCGAAGAAAATCACCGTCAATGACAACGGAAGCGGCGAGGGTTTCGTCTG